GATAGGATCTCAGAAGTCATTTTTGAATGAGACTCTTATTTACAATATACCTGGAAAGTAGTCATACCACTTCTGCTCAAAGACTTAGAGTTAGATAGGAACCCACTACTTTCTGAAAGCATACAATTCTACTTTTAAATAACTGACTGTTAGGAAGTTTTTCCTGACATCAAACCTAAATCTGACTTTCCAACACTTACCTAATTCTGGCCTTTAGAGTCAAGTAGAATAAATTCTTCTTCTACATGTAAGCACTCAAATACAACTATCATAACTTCTTTTGAATCTCTTTTCTAGAGTAAGTAACCTCAGCTCCTTCAACCAATTCTCATATCTAATGGCCCTGACATCATTGTTGGCTGCTCTATCTATGGCCTTCCTAATGTGGCACTCAGAACTGACCATGATACTGTAGATGTGGTCTCACCAGAACACAGTATACAGGATTATTACCTCTAGTCTAGACACTATGCCTCTTCTGTTATAGTGGAAGAGAGTCTGATTAGATCCCTGCTTTGTGAGTCACTGGGCAGCTGACATAAGCTCACTGTGCTTTAATTTCCTCATCTGTAAAACAAGGTTAGCTGAATTCTAAGGTCCCTTCCATCTTCCAACTCCCATTCCCATACTCGACCGTCCAGACAAACTTGCCTTTCTTCAAACTCCTCACACATGACATTCTTTCTGCCATTTCTTCATCTTTTCCCAGGCTGCCCACTACTACTGGAATGTAATCCATCCTCACCTTCACTTCTTAGAATCTCCAGTTTCCTGAAAGTTAAGCTTGGATATTTTTTCCTATATAACATCTTTCTTGATCCCTCCATGTTAGTGCTCTTCCTCATTACCTTCTATTATTTTGCATATTCTTATGTATTTAACTGTATGTTGTTTCTCCAAATAGAATGTAAGCTCTCTGAGAGCAGGGACTATTTCATTTTGGTCTCTGTGTCCCTTATACTCAGCACAGGGCCTGAAACATAACAGGAAGTTAAAGTTTGTTGATTGATTTCACCAGAGTAACAAGCTCACTCTTGTTGGTGAAAATCAAATCCATAAGAGAATTTTCCCTGGTTGATCCCTCTACTTAAGTATAAAGTTCTCATTAAGTCAAGTCAAGAAATTAGCTGCTCTGCTTTTGGAAGAGAGAAAGATTAAAAGAAATATCCAGAGGATGGATGGGAAAATGTTTTGGTTTTTTTTTTTAAATAGGAAGCATTGTTTAAGAGTACTGTAGAATTATTATAAATTTATATTTATTACCCCAATGATCCAAGAAGTAACATCCCTATAAATAGCAAAATGGGACATAGCCTTTTGCTCCCTTAGATGTCGTAAAGCCCGTTGAGCTTCTCTTACACTCTTATAATATTTTATTCTGCATTAATTATAATTGTGGCACCCCTCAACAGCATCCCCCCACACACACACACAGAGGACTGTGTGCTTTGTATAAGCTGAGAACAATGTCTACAACAGTGCTTTACATATTATGAATACTTTTAAAATGGTAACTGAATTTAAAAAAATGAATGAAACACCTGAACATTCATGCAAAGACGAAAGGGTAATATCCACTAATTTTAGGGAAAATTTATAATCTCCATAATTTCTTACAATGATAGGAACAAAATACAAGCTATTAAAAATTGACCTGCAACAAATACTAAAAAAATTTTCAAGCAATCTGTGAATTAAAACTTTTTTATTATCAAGCCAACAGTAGAAATATACAACAATGGTTAGTTATTACAATGGGTTTTTTTACAAGTTATATGGGGATCTTAAAGGCAAGACATTTGATTCTGCTGCTATAAGGATGTAACTATAAGGATTTTACTGCTTTGAAATGAACAATAAAATGTTTGCCAAAATACTAATGAGGATGATCAAATCTAGCTACCAGGTAAAAGTTTATTTTCCTTCCTAAAGCCAGCTTCCAACCTAGATATAATTAATCACAGCAACTGTCAAATGTCTTTAGGTTTATCAAACTGCTAGACTCACCTATAATCATCGCTTTTCTGTATATTATCTATATTAGACTCTCCTTTAGTTTCATTCCTGATTTGGGTTGTAAGTGTGGAACTGTCTCTTTCTTTCCTCTCTAGAGTCTGCTATACTCAATGAACAGATTATATGATGGAACAGGAGACCATCAGAAAGGAGCCAAAGGAATACAAGGTAAGCCTCTTTCAAAAGTGGAATATTTAAGAACTACAAAAGTTAGGAAAATATGCAAGAAAAAAAAACCACAGCATATGATAGTCCAGTGTTAAAATACGTGAATACATATCCAACTCAATATGTAAAAAGGAAAAATGCAAAAGAATCATAATATTTTTGAACTCAACATTTAACAGGAAAAAAAATCTTATAAATCAATACCCTATAAAATTTCAGTTACATTCACACTCTTTCTTACGGGCAGAGGTAGAGGATAGGTGGCCTTAAAGACTGGTAAAACTTTTATATAATTAAATAGCATTTTATCTCTCCTTGGAAATTTTATATGCTAGCTTGGTTTGATATGAATTACTTTGCTTTTTTCAGAAAGCACAATAAACCTAACAGGTTTTCACTTTAGGAGAGGTCTCCTGACCCCACATACTCTGCCACCTACAAAAAACAAAACAAAACTTGTCAAAGACTAAGATTTCCCAGAGGATTATAGCAGAACTATTTGAGGCAGAAGGGATATTTAGGAAAAGGGAGAAATTTTTCTTCTAACTGGTAAAGAGATGTATATTGAAAAGGGACTTTAGTAAGAAGATCTGTAAACAATCATCTTGGGTCTTTTCAGTGCAAGATGACTATTAGGAAGATAGGAGGGACAAGAATTAGCATCAATAGCACCATGCATTGCTATCCATATTATTCATTTTATACTTCACATTTTCTCTGAAAAACTGGAAAATTCAGATTGCAGTGGGTCATGAAAAAATAACATGGCCTCTGAGTTGAAAGCAGCTTCCTTATAAACTACTATGTAAACCTCAAATGACCATGTCTCACAGCATGCCCAATACAGTTCAGCATGTAACTGCATTTTAATTTCCTAAAACCACAGGATATCAGTCTGATTTTAAGTTATGTCTGGGCTGTGATATTCAATACTGATAAAACTGTTCAACATTCTACCTGAACTGAAATTTTCAAGTACAGAGGATAGTAAGAATTCTCATGCTGTTCAAAGGATTCTCTTTAGAATACTTTACTCATTACCTTACCCTGAATATTTTTTTCAAAACTAAATTATGAAATCTATTACAGAGATTTAAATGAGAATCTCTAAAGAACTATATTTTATAAGTATATTGTTGTTAATCCATAGTAAATATCAATCAATAAGCATTTATTAAGCACCTACTATACATTAGCCACTGTCCTAGGACCTATGGTTATAAAGATAAAAATTAAACAGTCTTTAAGGGGTTTATATTCTATTAGGGGAAACTACATATATACATACAAGTATACGCAAAAGAAATTCAAAGACATTTTTGGAGGGAGGGAACTAACAGCTGGGGATCAGCAAAGGCTTCAAGCACCAAGTGCCATTTAAGTGGCGAAGTGATCTACGAATCATTTCAACGACATATTTGCATTTGACATAAAGAGTTATTACTAATCACTTGGGGAAAAATGAGAAAAATTAATCATTAATATCAATGGATGCTCATCAAATTTCCCTTCAGTATGTGATATTCAATTAACTACTAGGCTGAATTTTATGAAATGTGAAGCTGTGGTCTCCTACACTTCCAGATTCTATGTCAATAGGAAAGAAGGACTAAATTTCATGGCTAAACTGAAAAGTTTAGAATGAAAGGCAATACAAAGAGCTAAAAAACATCCCAGAAACATGGGAGCTTGAAGCAAACTTTAAAAGATACTGAATTTTAGATCCAGAAGTGATTTTACAGGTCAGTCTTTATAAGGAGATAGGATATGATTAAAAGAAACATTATTCATCAAGCTGTATACTCAAAAAAGATTAATTCTGGTTTAACCTTGAGGGAAACTGAGAGTGAGGTAAAGTATTCCTCTTCCTTTCTACCATTTTACTATTTTGGTTTTCCCCTGAACTTCAAATCTGGTTAGAACACATTTAACATAAGTTATTTTCCACATAAGATCATTGTACAAGCAAGGAAAAAGAACAGGAACCATCCTTACCTGGAATTAAGTGATCAATACAAAGGGCTAAAAATCACAAACTTATTTAGAGGTAGCTGTGATATAACAGAAAAAAACAGCACTTACAAGTCCAAAGACCTGACTTCATGTCCTAGTTCTAACATTCACGATCTGTGTGACCTCTCCAAGTCTTAGTTTCCTCATTTGTAAAATGAGAATAATTATATAGCCTTCCTCATTAGGTTATTTCAAGGGTTAAATGAGATAATGATCTGATCATGTTCTTTAAGTTTATGTACTTTGCAGCACTGTATTGGTAAATGCCTAACAACTGGCTCCCAAAGGAAAAAAACTGTATATAAGACACACTTTTAAGTTGTATCTGCATTATTAATATTTTACATATCACTTTATTAAGCCCAGAAAACTACGGCTCATTGCAATCTGTTTTTGTAAGGTCCACTGCACTTTAAAATGCAAAAACCATTTTCTTTGTAGGCTGTTATTTGGTCCACAAGCAATAATTTGTTAGCTCCTGGTCTAGACAATCAAAAAACCAATGAATCAAAACCAGGGTTTGCCAAGGATCAGGGTTTGATCCTTGCCTCAAAGCACTTACAACATAGTGAAAGGAACTAGTAAGGAACAGCAGCACAAATAAGGGGACTTCAGATTTTATGTATTTCTAAGACTGTGTTCTACACCTCTCTCTCCACCCTTATGCCTTCCCCTCACCCCTGCACACATACAAAATACATACAAAGCTATCTGGATCCTTTTAGGAACAAATGTCATGACACTGATAAATTATAAATATAAATGTCACAATGCAAAGTTATAAGCTCCAGTTATAAACCTACCTGCTTTTGTATCTTGGTTGAAACGACAGTATTTAGAGCTCTCAAGTGCAGGCAGACACTGCTCAATGGGTACCCAGACATATGTCTCTGGACACAACAAATCAGAAGGCCTATACTGACCCTGATGAGAAAGGAGAAAAAAAAGGACAGATAAATTAGTGACACGATAACTTCCTAGCTACAAGGCTCCTATGAAAGGAAGGTTTTCAATCACCAGTCTAAACAAAATCAACCAGGAAACTGCTTTACTGTACTAAATGTCCCTGCTAGTGATTAATTCACCATCTTAAGAATACAAGTTTGACTAAAAGGCTTTCTAAAATTGACACTGCATATTTTATAGTGCCTATGATTTGAACTTCAGCTTTCCCACCTTCTACAGCATCAGAGTAAATTCACAATTCTGCCTTACAGAACTGATGTTCACACTAGAAAATTTAGACTTAAAAACCACTTCTCTCAAATAAAAATTGTCAAAATACAGAATTCAAATCTTCAAAAATGTTGCACAATAATTCTGATTATATTTCTGTTGTTGTTTTAGAACATCACATAGTGGTTACTGAAGATTTTCAGAAATGAAGATTTGCTATTATTAATAAAATTAGAGAAGTTAATGGATTCATCATACTCTACTAAGAATATATTTGTTGGGGGGGGGCAGCTAGGTGGCACAGTGGATAGAGTACCAGCCCTGAAGTTAGGAGAACCTGAGTTCCAATCCAACCTCAGACACTTGACACTTACTAGCTGTGTGACCCTGGGCAAGTCACTTAACCCCATTGCCTAACCCCCCCCAAAAAAGATATATATACATACACACATACACACACACACACACACATACATATTTGTTGATATCTATTGAGAATATATTTGTTGATACAAATTTTTTATGCTTCAATTCTATCTGGAATACATTAAAGTCAAGGGGGAAAAAAGATGAAATATGAAATTTCAGATAAGTATTGGTTATATAATAAAGATTGGAAGTAAAAAAGATGCATATATGATCAGAAAAGAAAGTAAACAGGCATACCAAAAAAGTGAGAGATAGTAGCTATACTGCTATCAGAAAATGTTACAAAACCTAGAGGAAAGTCTCAAGCTTGTTGGGTCAATCCTTTACAGAGGATTTATGAGAGGACATGAACAAGAAAGAATCAGAGGATGAGAATAGATAAATGGAATGAAAAAGAATTTATTAAGTTCTTACTATATGATAAGCCCTATGCTAAGCCCTGGGAATGCAAAAAGAAAAGCAAGATAGCCTCAGCTTTCAAATTCACATTCTAATTAGAGGAGATGAAACATAAAGGAGGGTTCAGCCTCATGGCAGATGGAAAAGGTAGGAGGTACTTTGGTCCTGGCATGCAAAGCAACAGGGTTGATGGTAAGTTTCCATGGGCTTTGAGAAGCAATGGGAGGGCAGATATTCCCTAACAACTGTAGGGAAGGGTGGATAAAAGATGGGAGTAGAGGAGGGTTAGCTCAGGCAGATGTAGGGTTTGGATGGTTAGCATCCAGTCAAGGAGGATATGGATGGGCTGCACAAGTGGAGGTAACACCCATACGAATGAAGTCAATTAGATCAAGACAGTTAACTGAATCTCCTAAAATTCCTTTAAAATTGCAAGACATTTATTACATTTCCAAATGGTTGATTTTTAAAAATATTACTTATTTACCCAACCATTATTCAAAAGCAATATAATTAATGCTAAATGACCAACATCTCAACATATAGTAGACAGAAGGCAGCATAAATAATCCTTTAAGTACATGGTAGAGGGGGCAGTTAGGTGGCGCAGTGGACAGAACACTAGCCCTGAAGTCAGGAGGATTTGAATTAAAACCCAGCCTCAGACCAAGCACTTGACACTAGCTGTGTGACCCTGGGCAAGTCACTTAACCCCAACTGCCCCCCCCAAAGTACATGGTGGAAAGAGGTTCATTCAGAGGCTGTATTGGGCTTTATTTTTTGTCAACTTAAATGAAAATCAAAGGTTCTTGCCTCTAAACAGATGATAATAACTGTGTGAGAAATCACATTTATATAACAAAATAAGGTTTAGAGAAGATGGCAGAATAAATGCAGGGACTCGCCTCAGCTTTCCCCCAAAACCTTCCAAACACCTTTAAATAATGACTGAACAAATTCTAGAGCAGCAGAATCCACAAAAAGACAGAGAGAAACAATTTTCGAGCCCAAGACAACTTAGGTCAACAGGAAAGGTCTGTTCCACCAGGGTGAGAGAGAAGCATAGGCCAGGCCAGTGTAGATAGGCAAGGTCAGGAGGACCTGAGTTCCAATCCAACCTCAGACACTTGACACTTACGAGCTGTGTGACCTTGGGCAAGTCACCTAACCCCAACTGCCTGAAGGGAAAAAAAAAAACCCAAAACAGGAAAAGGCCTCAGGAAGACTGAATCAGTGGCAGCAGTAGCAGTTTGCAGACCTCTCGGCTCATGGACAGTAAGGGGATCAGAAAATGGCTCTGCGGGCACCTGGGGAAGGATTCTGCTGCACTGTCTTTATGCGGATCTGGACTGCAGTAGTGGCTCTCAGTCCCAGTGCAAGAAGGAGCGCTGGGACAGCAGAGCTGGCAGCCACGGAGGGGCCGGGACCCTGGTCACAATTTCAGAGATGAAAAGAGTGCCTGCGGTCACTCACAAATCAGTGCACAGCACAGGAGAGTAGTGAGCACACATCCTATCACCCTGGAAGAGCCGAAAGCTTACAGGCCCCCAGACTTACCTCTGAAGGCAGCTGCACAAAACCCTAAAGCTTGGAATAGCACCCTCTAGCACAGAGTTAAAAGTCAAGAACTAGGCTGGAAGATAAGCAAACAACAGAAAAACACTCTGATCACAGAAAGTTACTGTGCTGACAAGGAAGATCAAAACACCCACTCAAAAGAAGACCACAAGGTCAAAATTCCTGCTCTAAATCACTACTGATGGATGAAAAACTACTACCTCACACCTGTCAGACTGGCTAATATGACAGAAAAGAAAGATGACCATGTTGGAAGGGATGTGGGAAAATTAAACCACTAACGTACTATTGGTGAAGTTGGATACTGACCCAACTATTCTGGTGAGCGATTCAGAACTATGCCAAAGAGCTACAGAACCATGCATACCCTTTGACCAAGCAATACCACTAATAGGTCTGTATCCCAAAGAGATAAAAAACAAAACCTACGTGTACAAAAATATTTATAGCAGCTCTTTTAGTGGTGGCAAAGAATTGGAACTTGAAGGGATGCCCATCAATTGGGGAATGGCTGAAAAACATGTTGTATATGATTGTGATGGAATACTAATATGTTTTAAGAAATGATGAGCAGGATGCCCTCCGAAAAACATGGAAAGACTTAAATGAATGTGTGCAAAGTGAAATGAACACAGCCAGGAGAACAGTGTACACAGTAACAACAATATTGTATTATGATCAACCATGAATGTAACTTAGCTATTCTCCGCAATACAATGATCCAAGACAATTCTGAAGGGCTTATGATAAAAGACGCTGTCCATCTCCAGAAAAGAACTGGTACAGCCTAAATGCAGATCAACGATACTTTTTCTTTACTTTCTTTATTTTTCTTCATTTTTTTTTCATCTGCTTTCTTTCACAGAAAATTGTTTTTACATGTAACCGGGGAAAATAAAATATTAAATAAGATTTGTTAAAATAAGGTTTAGAAAATACTTTATATTCATTATCTCATCTTGAACTTGTGAGGCAGGTGCTTCAAATATTATTACCCTCATTTTACAGATGGGAAAACTGAGGCTCAAATTCGTTAAATGATTGGAAAGTTGTGAGACAGACAGTAAGTAGTTAAAGCAGCAGTCAAAGCCAGGTCTCCCCTGACACCAAGTCCAACATTTTTTCTACAATACCACACTGCCTCTCAATTCTTACAGTCATTGTAATTTTCTTAATTAACAACTCAGGGTGAGACCAAGCAGAGCTAACCTAACCACCCCACCCAAAGCATAGTATTAATCACTAATAATTTGAGAAATACAAATTAAAGCAACTGAAGTCCCACTTCATACCCGGAGATTGTTGGGTAAACAGGCACACTAATGCACTGCCAGCAGAGCTGCAAATTGCTATACCAGTCTGAAAAGCAATGTAGAACTATGCCCTAATTCACTAAACTATACATACCTTCTTATGCCCCCAAGAGAACAAAGAAAAGTAAAAGAAAGACCTTTATGTTCAAAAATATTTCCTAGTAACACTTTTTCTTTGATGTGATAACTGGAAACTAAGGGAGTTCTCATAAACTAGGAATGGATGAAGAATTTATGATACACAGAATATTATTTCACCATACAAATATACGTAGCTTTGTGGTTCTGATTCGGAATGAGATCTCAGATCTGACCCTGTGGGCCTAGTCCAGTGGAGTAAGACTGACAGTTCTGTAACACTGACCCTGAAATTGTATTTATGACTCAGGCCAGTGGTGAGTAAAAAGGACAAGAATTATGGAAACTGGGGTCATTCTAATGCCTCTGTCACTGAACCTGCAAAAGCTTCTAGCTAGCAGACAAGGACTGGGGTCAGTAACTGTTTACAGAAGCTCCACCTAGTGAGAAGCCTGGGGATGCAAAGACAAAGCCAAGACAGCTACATCTTTCAAGCTCACATTCTAGTTTGTGTTACCTAGAACCGAAGAAGGGTCTGGAGACTAGAAGGCTCAGTCCAGGAAGGCTGTGATCAGGCTGTGCCCTAGATCAGAGCATGAAGGGCCAGATGAAAGTTTGTAGCTTTTTGATCACTGCTATATAATGCATTAAGAAGAGTAGTCAATACTCTGAGAACACAATAATAGGACCCCAGATAACACACACCAGGAAGGTAAAACACTCTGATATTCCCGCTAGAAGTATGTAACACCTGGCCCTAACACAAAGTACCAATATGGGAAGCAAGGCTAAAAAATGAGTAAACAAATACCTACAATAGAAGACTACTATGGTACCGAGGGATACTCAATAAACAAGCCCAGATGAAAAGAATTCTAAAAGATCTACAAGCAAAGGTTCAAGTAAAAACACAGTTTGGCCATAAGACCAACTAGAATTCCTAGAAGATAT